GGGGGGGGTACTCCCCTATATTCGCTATACGGGGACGTGCCGCCAGCTAGGGTATCGTTTTCAGCGATTTTACTCTGGAACAGGGTATCAATAGAACGAATTTTCTCTGGAACAGGGTCAGGGTTGAATTCCGGAATTATTGATGCTGGATAAAAATTCATGGGGTAAAAATTCGGTCTACACGCAAGCTAGTGCAGGATTTTACTCTGGGAACAGAGTATCGTTTTCATCGATTTTACTCTGGAACAGGGTATAGTTATCAGCGATTTCACTCTGGAACAGGGTGAAACAGGTCCCAGCGGCACACCCCCACCCAAGTTTCGGGGGAGTAACCCCCCCCCCCCCGGGGGCTGCGCTGTCAACTCAAAGATTTTATCGCAGGTCCCGCTAATACTTATTAATTGTTTACAAGGTATCCAACTAATAGTCCATGATCGTAATTTGGATGTGCAGTAGCTGGAAACTTTTAACTTTTATATCGTAACTTATTTCCATTTACTTCTACCTCATTTCACTTTTCATAATCATTACCGTAACTAAGTTATTCACGGAGTATCCAGCCAATCGGTACTACGTGAATTAGAACCAGTTTCTTTTATTCTTTCTAGAACTCATTAATAATGCATGAGCTATTAGTCCAATCAGAATCCAACTATTGGGTCACATGATGGACCTTTATATCCCGATAAAGCACTGATGTTTTATTAATCAGTTCTATATMAGAGATAGAGTTATTTTCAGGGTGGGCATAAAACGAAGACCTAAGACCTAAGACCCCAAACAAAATCAATTCAAAATCGTTCCAAAAGTGCGYTATGTCACGCAGAACATAACTAACAACAAAACACGAACGTTTCAAAGATTTTTAATGGGGTCTTCATTTTGGACAACCCCCCCCCCCAAAATATCCAAAACGAAGACCCCCCTAAAATCTCGTTTAAATCATTTCATTATGTTCAAATCACCGCCAGCACGACTCTCTTGCTAACAGATTCGCACAAGAAATACATTCARAGCGAGTTCGCATATGCAGTACTCTAACCAGCTCAAAACTCATTTTTGAAAACCTGCTATTATCACTAGTGAAAGTAATAATATAGTTATTTGAAGACATAATTTGCTTTGATGTATAACGTTAACTATATAAACAAAATATTGTGATACTACGATATTTTATTAAGTAGATTTACAATGATACAAAMACTGATCAATACACTAACACTGCACATGCTCACAACTAATTACATACGTATTTCATTCAATTCTTCTTCTTCCCAAGATGCAATTTATACACTTTGTAATTAGTTTAYTCAGACTCTCGCTACCTTGATAGCAATGTTACATGTAAATGTCCTAGAAACCGCACGTATCTGTCAGGTTGTTTTACAAAGCGTCCGCTATCGGCTTGACTTCACCGATACATTTTGTTAGAGGCTTGTTTGAATGTTGCTTTGAGTACTCCTAATTATTCTCAAATTATATTATTAAGTGCAATGCTAGGATCTGTGTCTTTTGTCTTATTACTGGATGGGAGCCGGCTTTGGGAACTCGTTGCGAGTTGTGCTAATTATCTTAGTACTTATAGAGGGTCTCAATGGGGTGGTACGCATCACGACTCACGACTAAAAATTTGTCTGTTTCACGACTCACGACTAATTTTTTCGAATCACGGTTAACTAGATTACTTTTCTCTCTCTCAACTTTAATGTTCGGTAGGTAGYGATGGTCAGTGTCAGTCTGAAAGTTGAGAGAGATGTTTTAAAGGTGATAGCAAAAACGCCCTAAAGTTGGCGATTCTTGTGTTGTACTTGATGTGTATTGCACACGCTTTGCTCGTACTGAAAGTTAGAAATGATTTAAACGTGATTTTAACGTGATTTTAGGGGGTCTTCG